CGGGCCCGCCGCCCGCCCCGCCCCGCGCCGCGGCCCAGACCCGCCGCCGGCCGCGCCCGCCTCACCTCGCCCGCTGCGCCGCCGCCTCCCGAGGGCCGGCCGGAAGTGGCGCCCGCGCAGGCGCAGAGGGCACGTGACCGCGCCGAGGCGGGGGGGGGGGCGGCCCCGGAAGGTGGCGGGCCTGGGGGGCGCGCCGACCGGGAAGCAGGAGCCGAGCCGGGAGTCGGGCCGAAGGGGCCCCGGGAGGCCCCGGCCGGCGAGGGTGCTGAGCGTCCGGCCCTGGACCCTAGGAATCAGGCCACCACCACAGGCTTGGGAATCACGTTTATTGAAAAAGTACAAAGTGTCACAATAAAAAATCCACCTAGAGGGCTGGGGACGCAGCTCAGTGATAGCGCACTTGCCTACCACGTGTGCGGATCTGGTTTGAGCCCCAGCACCACAAAAAAATTTCACCTGGTGATTAAGCCAAGCCAGAGACATGGGTGTAGGGGACAGGGGTCGCGCCTGAGGACAAGTCCTGGCCAGCCCAGTGGCAGCCCTGAGCCACAAATGAAGAATGCCCTGTTCCCTGGAACAGGGTGCAGGCCCCTTCTCCAGGAGGCAGGAGCCCTGGAGTGCAGCTCCAACTCAGTCCATCCTGGTTCCTTTGAAGAGCTCCACCAGGTCCTTGAAGTCCGGGTCAATGAGGTCGGAGGGCAGGTCACCATCGTCATTGGCTGCATCTCTGTCTGCCCCCAGAGAGATGAGGTACCTGGATGCAGAGGGCAGCCCTGGTTGAAGCATGCTTGTCCCCACCCCAGCACGCAGGCATAGAGCCCTGGGTCACCTGTTTGTTTTTCCACTCAGGGTGAGGAGGAAACCTGACCCTTTGGAAGCTGCGGCCAGCTTTCCAGTTTGTTATGGGCCAACACAGGATAGAAACAGGGTGCCAGGGGACAACCCTTAGGGTTCATGCCTGCACCATCAGAGCTGTCTTTTGGGGACCCACCTCCTGGGGACCAGTGGATGCCTGGAGAGGCTGGGCCAGGACCTTTCTGCACCAGGTCCCACTCTCACCTGGCGATGTCGGGGTACCCATCACTGCAGGCCATGTGCAGAGGTGTCCACCCCGTCTCGTCACGCTGGTGAATGTCAGCCCCATATTTGACCAGCAACTTTACACACTCCAGGTTTCCAGAGAGCACTGCTTCATGCAGAGCAGCTAGACCTGTGCAGGTGGGAGGGCAGGGGTCAAGGCTGGAGTCCTCCACATTGGCCTTCCCCAGTATCCCCACAGGCCCATGGCCAATCCCTCTGGGAATCACTCACCTGAGGGGTGGATGGTGTCCAGGGAGACTTTCCGAGCCCGGATAAAACGCCCTACCTGCTCCAGGTCACCCTGGCGGATGTGGTCCAAGAAGAGGACATCATTAGGGAAACGCACACTTCGGTCAGCCAGCAGTCGCCGGCGCCGCTGCCGGGGGCTGTAGCGGGTATATCGGACTGTTCTGCTGGGCATCCTAGGGGCTGGGGTGGGCTGCCCCCTGGGGACCCGACTGCACTGGGATGAGGAGTGTTCCAGCCAGACCAGGTCAGCGTGCAGGTTCTTCTGATGAGACTTTGCTTCCGGCTTATATAGTGTCTGCGGAGCTATATAAAGCTGCGTGGTCATGCCTGTGGACGAGAAGGCTGAAACCGAGCTGCCCCCTCCCTGCGCACCGGATCATGTTTGGTGGCTCATCTTTCAGCCCACCTGTCGTTGTGTCCGGCCAAAGGGGTCAGATCCTTCCTGGCCACCGCTCCCTGCCCCACAGCTGGACCTAGAAGGTGCTTTAACAGAGGGCAGGAGAAGGACAGGGCCCATGAAGAAGGCCTCAGATGCGGGCTCAAGGGCAAGGTAGGTGCCAAGGTTGTAAGGAGGCCCAAGCACCTGGGGATGAGTGGCCTCTGCCTCCTGGAGAGGGAGGGCCTCCCCACATCCGAGGAGCACTGGTCTGTCTGCTGTGGGGGAGGCCAGGCCTAGCCATCTCCACCTGTCACTTCCTCATCAGCTTCTGGTGCTGTGGTTTCCTGGGAGCTGCCTTGATGGCTCTGTCTGCATGGACCTGTTCCCCATGCTGGGCGCTCCAACACCAGGATCCTGCCTGCCCTGGGCAGCCCTCCCTCCCGCAATTTCCACTGCCTGCCATACCTTCTCTGGGTTCTGGAATGCTGCCAGAAACTGTTCACATTGAAGGTGGTGTCCAGTCTGTGTCCCTAGTGAAGGGACTATGTGGGGTGGTGTGACCCTCAGCCCAGCCCTCGCAGGCTGTCAGTACCTCGCGCTTTTTTTTTTTTGGATGGCTGTGGTGGGCCTTGAACCTAGGGTGCTTTACCATTGAGCCTTTCTTTATTTTTTATTTTAAGACAAGATCTCACTAAGCTGCCAAGACTAGTCTTGAACTTTTGATCCTCCTGCCTCATCCTCCTGAGTTGTTGGGGTTACAGGCCTGTACCACCGCACCTGGCTAAATCTCCTTCTCACAGGGCCAGCAGCCATAATGGACTTATGGCCACCTTACTCCAGTGTGACCTCATCTTAACCAATTACAGGAACAGTGACCCTGTTTCTAGATAATTTCACATTCTAGCTGGGCATGGTGGCAAACGCCTGTCACCCTAGGGACTCAGGAGGCCAAGGCAGGAGGATGCAAGCTCAAGGTCAGTTTGGGCAACTTAGCAAGACCCTGACTCAAACCAACAAAAAACCCATATCAAAGCACAGTTGGGGATATAGCTTAGCGGCAGAGTTCTCCTGAGTTCAATCCTAAATACTGCCCCTCTCCCCCCAAAAAAGTCACATTCCAAGGTACTGGGGGATAGGACATGAGTCGGAGACGAAGCTCAACATCCCACTGGTGAGATGCTCCAGGTGGCCACTGGAGGCCTAAATAACAGGACCGAGACTGGCCAGCCCTGCAGGCAGGGAGGAGAGGCAGTGCTCCATCATTAGCTGGGCCCCAGCCAACAGAGTCCAGTCAACAGGTGTGTCGGACCCCCTCAAGGTGCAAAGCCTTGAGCCACAGGCTGCAGGCCACCCTGCCTGGCAGCGTCTCCCTGCCGCCGTGCCCGCTGGGCCTCACACAGGGCTGCATACTCTGCACCCCACACCCAGCCTGTCTAGGCCTGACCTGTGGGGACCCTGCTGGGTGGTGCCTGGGTGCTGCATTTTCAGGGACTCGGGGAGTGCTGGGCAGTCGTGACTCCTGGCCACCTGGAAAGAGTCAGTAGTTTCTTCTCCCTTGTTTACAGGAAGCCAGGAGACTAAACATTCTGCCCGGTGGCCAGCTGGCGGCAGCCTGCTGCGGACATTGCTTTTCTCTTGTTGGGCAAGGACCTGGGTTCCAACCCTAACAGAGAAAGAAAGGTGGGGGAGGGGAGAGAAAGCTAGGAGACAGTGAGGTGAAAATGCCTCCGTCCAGCGCTGACCAGGGCCCCAGAATGGCCCTTTCCAGCAGGCTCTGGGCCTCAGGCTGGACAGGACTGAGCTGAATGGGTCAGATGAGCCTGTTTGGCAGCCCCAAGTCGGACCCCAAGTGGCTCATCCTGCAACCAGTGCCCTGAAGGCTTCTGTGTGGATCAGAGAAGGGACTGGTCCCCAAGGCCTCTCAGTCACCACAGGTTCCCTAGAGGAATGGATGTGCTTTTGTTGTAGTTGCTGGGAATCATGTGTCTGCATCCTGAGTCCCAGAGGCTGCCTGGAGCACCTCAGCAGGAGAGGACCCTCTGCTATCATGGGTGAAATGAAAAGCTTTGTCCCTAATTTGTCTCAGTTGGTATGAACTTGTGATAAAAGTGACCTGGTCTGCATGATTTTAAGTTTCAATTTTTTTCAAGGACAAATTAAAACATTTATGCAAAAAGGTTACCATCTGGGGCTGGGGATGTGGCTCAGGCGGTAGTGCGCTCGCCTGGCGTGCGTGCGGCCCGGGTTCGATTCTCAGCACCACATACAAACAAAGATGTTGTGTCCACCGAAAACTAAAAAAAAAAAAAAAAAAAAA